GTGCCGACGGCCCACCGGGAAATTTCCCGGTATCCCGGTGGGCCAGTCCGGCCCTGATCCAAGGAGACATCTGACTGCTATTTTGGGGTCAAGAAGGAATTTTTTCATAGTTTGTTGCAAAACTGGACACGCTTCAGACGGTTTGCCTTCTTTTGGATCAACAGCAAAAAACATATCTGATGAAGGATGAACTTGATGGACGCAAGTCTCTTTTCAGCTATGCAACTATGTAAAACTATCACTCAAACGTGAGAGAAAGAACTCATAGGGCTTCAAAATAAACAAAAGAGCGGATTTATTGTAAGCAGACGTGCATTTGCATATAATCAATGTTTCAGCCCATTTTCTTGATATATTAAAGAATCACTTTAGCTTGTTTTCCTGACACTATATAATCCTTAGGTCCCCCCTCCCGCTGGGCTGAAGGGGTTAAAACCCCTTCATCCACTTACTTTATCCAGCGCCGGGCTATTGCATTGATCACCTAGGTGTCAGGATTACAAGTTGATCCAGCACGTACAACTGTATCACACCTAGGACTAAAAGGTAACGTCTTATTAGGCCTTAGAATGGCCGGACTTAACGTACCAGAGAAAAGTCAGAATATTTGCCAAGGTCGGGGACACAGAATGAAACACAACGATGAGGGAAAGCCAAAAGTCAGGGATATCTGAATACAGGGAAGTCAAACGAAGCCAAAGTCAATAACCAGAAAAGAAATGCTCAGAAACACACTATTGGACAACCAGCCTTTGACTCCAGAACGTGCGCGCGTCTCCCGCGTAACGTCACATGCACGCCAACGTTGCCATCACCGCGGACGGACGTGGGGCTATAATTTGGCGTGGGTCTGTTTGGTATGGACATCAACATGTTGCAGGAGTCAGGTACACTGATGCATGGCCGCTGAGAGCAGATGCCGCAAGCTGAGGATGAATATGTTACACTAGGCGGAAGAACCATTGCCGCATGCGGTGACAGTTCATCAGGACCTTCTTCCGTTTAGGGAAGAACTTTGACTCACCAACGAGTTCCCAGGTTTGTGAATCTGGAATGCAGGCCCTCATAATGGCATAGGGCAGGGTGGATGCTCTATTTGGCTCCTGTCTCACAGTGCTGCTCACCTACCTTTTCCTACCTCTGAGCCAGGACATTGGCTGATTTGGGACTTATCACAGGCTCACTGCTGGAAGCCACCCAATTGCCTGTCCAATTGCTTCCTGCATGGTGGTCATTATCTTTTCACATTGATGGACTTATAATCAGTACAGATTGAACTGTTCTTATTTTTACTTTATCGCTAGATGTTTTGCTGTTACTTTACTTTGTGCTATCCTGTGCTGAGCCAGAGTGGGGTATCAGTGGTATCATTATACTGCAAATATAGCCTGTTAAACATCATGTTTGATCTGCCAGTTTTGCTACTATTACTTAGCATAGTATGTTAATCCTGGCATTTACCTCGTTTTATTCTTTTTTAAAAGTGGCCTGTTTATTCCAATAGTGACCTTGTCTACCCAATAAGCTACAGTATAATTGTACAATATTTGCCTCTTTGCGAACTTATGTCCTGGTTGCTCTTGCTGAAAATGTCACAACTGTACCGTTGCATTACATGTGTAATCTGTGAAACAATAAAAACAAAGATTGGCAAAAAAAAATGAAAATTAACTCTCTACTTAAATCCTCCCATTCTGTGGACAAGAATTGACATTTCGAGTATGAAAGAACTCCACTCTATTCTTGTGCCCATGCATTTACAATAAGCATACAAGAAAACAATCATTCCAGTATAATAGGACATGTCTCTACAAAAAATAATAATGTTCCAAAAATAGAATCTTTCCACAGAAATGAATGATGTTATATTTTAGGTACAGTGCTATTTGTCCTTTACCTTGTGTAAGTGATATACAGGGAATTGTATATAGGATAATGCATAGGCATAGTGAAGGGGGAAAGGGGGGACAACTAACATCAGGCAACTGTCTGATGGGGCGCCCCACCAGCCTCAGAGAAAGATAGTCTCTGATGCCTAAGTAGCAGTTTTACTCAGTACTGCAAATCAGACAAATTGTCTGGTGAGCCCAGGGTTGCGTCGAAACTGGCTAAGCAGGAAAAAGGGAGATTTCACAATGGGCTGCTTCATTATGGGACAGTAGCTGCCAAATAAACTTTTCCTCAATCTATGCAAATAATTACATACATACATATATGGCTGCATAATGGAGGGGTGGGGCTAGGAAGGAGCAGCCAGTCGCTCCCTCACAATGTGCAGTATGGTTACTCAAAGGCAGCTGGGATGCTGACATCATCCCTTGGCAGGCGAGCTAGACTGCATGAACATGAGGAGCGACTTGTAATTCACTTCTAAAAACCCAGGTGACCAAACTCAGCCCACACAACTCCTGGTATGGCTTAATTTACAAGAAAGTATGAAATGTATGTAAGTGCTAGAATCAGTGTGTGTCATGGAGTGCTTGTGTTCGTGATGCTGAATGCTTGTTGAAGTGTGTGTGACACAATGCTTCTGTGTGTGAGTGTTTGTATCAGTGTGTGCCAGTGAACACTTGTTTCAGTAAGTAATTGTGTCTGTGATTGCTTGTGTTAATGTGTGGATCAGTGAGTGCTTGTGTCTCAAAAATCAAAATACACGGTAAGGGACCTGCAAACTGTCAGAGGTATGGAACTGGTTTGGGAGGCACAAATAAAAGACCTGCCACTATGCACCTCATGATCTCACTATGCTTCCGAGTTAATGTTACTTACAAATGACCTCAAGTCATTGTTATTATTTATGTTGTTTTGTTCATGTGCTAATACTGAAAATATTTTGGGTTATTGGTGAATAGGTATTTATTAGAAAAGTGTTTTCGGGTCCTTTGAGAAGAGTTTTTTTTCATCAGGATTGTGATCACGAAAACTTTGTTTACCATAAAATATAGGGCCCATTTTCACCAATCCAATATTGATAAATGCTGTCAGTATATATTGGAACAGTAACAATGTCGCCGTTCTCTCTCCGACTTTGGTAACAGCTTATTAGCAGGCATTAGCAAGTTAATAAATCTCGAATATGCTATTGTAATTTCCAAAATGTTCAGTCAATAAATCAATGCTATAATTAACAGTTCCAGGATTCTCAGACTCTCCCTTTCCCCAACACACACAAACACTAAATTATATTTTCAATTATTTACAGATTACAATATAGAATGTTCTTGGGTAGAAATTGTCCTGATGAGAACTGACATATTAGAATAACACACAAGAGTGGCTGCTAGTGAGACCCTCCTCCCATCTTTTGTCTTGGGCTTTATCAACAAAGTTTGAGTTTTCACAGAATACGTTCAGGGAGAGGTGAATGAGCCAGAGTTTGTCTCTGGCAACTGTTTAATTAAAGATTGATCTATTCCAAGAGACAGAAAGCAATTTTGGCCAGAGACAAGTAGATCTGTTTCCATCCCAAACGTCTACACAAACTCCCAAGTTGTCTCCAGGATTTGGACAAAGGAAGCTTGGAAAATGGATGCACTGTCTTTCCAATGGACAGATGTTCCGGCCATTGTGCTTTGAAAGTCCTGCAGAAGATCCGCAGGGACAGGGTACAGAGTTTAGTGCTAGTTTACCTCGTATGGACCTTCAGACCCTCGTACCCATTGATCCATCAGTTAGTCAAGGGAACTAAGATCCCATTGGGCTTGACTGTGGACCTTTCAGGGAACCAACTATCTTTTGCTGAAGCTTCTGCAGCTGATGTGGATCGCAGCCCTGGCATTGGATCAGGTCCTGGACATCATTAATTCATCTTTAAGACGTAGGGTGAGATATAGATATATGATTGAGGAATATAAAGAATGATATGTTTCGTTACTATCCTCTTCTCATGGGTCTGACACCATTCTATTAGCTTTAGAATTTCTTACCCTTAAGTTCCATTCTGGTTTAGCAGTCAATACCATCAAGGCCTATGAATCTCCTTTAAATTTCCTTATTCTTAACCTTACTAAGGATGCCCTCTATTTGAGATTACTAAAAGGGTTATCAGTCTGCCATCCATATACTCCACGTTACAAATCTACGTGGGATGTAGAATTCTTATTAAATTTCCTTAATTGATTTAAGATGGACTGCTATTAAGTTGGCTTCTCTGCTGGCTTTGGCAGCTAGAGGAGCTGAGTTAAAGGACCACTATAGTGCCAGGAAAACATACTCGTTTTCCTGGCACTATAGTGCCCTGAGGGTGCCCCCACCCTCAGGGACCCCCTCCTGCCAGGCTGGATGGCTCTCCTCCTCCTTCTCTCCGCCTCCGATCCTCCCCTTCGGCTGAATGCGCATGCGCAGCAAGAGCTGCGCGTACATTCAGCCGGTCTCATAGAAAAGCATTTACAATGCTTTCCTATGGACGCTGGCGTCTTCTCACTGTGATTTTCACAGTGGGAAGCACGCAAGCACCTCTAACGGCTGTCAATGAGACAGCCACTAGAGGATTTAGAGGCTGGATTAACCCATTTATAAACATAGCTGTTTCTCTGAAACTGCTAGGTTTATAAAAAA